TTTTATCCAAAGCGACTTACAAATGAGGACAATAGAAGCAATCAAAACCAACAAAAGAGCAGTAATATGCAAGTGCTATATTAGTATATTATTATAGTGTTATATTTCAATTTCACAAAGAAATGTGCAGCATTTTGTCCAAGCAATAATAAAAGGACACATTTCATTTATAATTTGTCTTCAATCACATTTTGTAAAAAAAATAAATAAATAAAAAATCGTGAATAGAATCGTGAGTTGAGTGAATCGTTACATCCCTACTGATACAGTAACATTGTAGAAACAATAAAACATCTTTATTAACTAAAACCTGCACTGCTATAAAGGCAGGTCTCAGTAATGATGATTTTTCTACTGTCGCAGTAGTTCACATTTTCACAAAATGAAAAGAAATATATAAACAAATATTAATAAACAACAAACAGATAAATATACATATTACCGTTCAAATGTTTGGGGTTAGTAATATTTTTCAAATTGATCAAATGTGACAGTAAATACATGGAGTAATGATGCTACAGATATATATACACTTACCTTTAAAAAAAAATTATAAAACAAAACACTACCTAGAGTACAATAACAAGATACAAAGCAAAGATCCACAAAGCCACTCCAGCTCTCTTACTTGTTCATCTTTCTTTTGTTTGCGAAGTTGCAGGCCTTCTTCCTCCCTCCTCCTCCTCATCTCATCTGTGTTGAGCGATTTGTTTTTATAGCTTTTGAGACGTGCATTGTCCTTCCCCTGACTCATGATGTTGCCTGCTGGAAAGACATGATCAAAGCAAGATGAGCAAAAGAGGAATCGCCAAGACTCATTAAAATAGTTGCTTGATCTCAGCTAGATGACAGGCTTTGAACGATCATTTAATATCATGTTTCCATCAGCAGTGGCCACATACACCAATCATAATGCCAGATAAGCATGCACATCCGTCATTTGTGACAAAACTAATCTGACAGAAGCAAAAAAAATACTAATGCAGTCTGAGCTGTAACCTACTCAAACGACCTCGTCTGTCACTTAGCATAATATTTCGAGCATAATATTTCAAAAATACAAAATCATTGTTTTAATGTACTGTGATTAACCAACTGGGGAAGTACGGTGACATCCATTAGTTACAATTTTTACTCTATTCACCTGTGGTATTTTCCCTTAAATGACAAAAGAATATGAAGATATTAGTAAGAAACAGAGCCAGACTGGATCTGTCAGTGTCTCTAACCCGCTTCTCACGGGCAGTGGCGCTTCAGCCCGCAGTGAAGGGGAGAGAGAGACCCATCCAACCATCTCCACCAAAAAACACCGCGCTAAACACACCAATCCAACCGTACATAGCGCCTAAGAACCGGATACGATCGATTTAAGTCAATAAAATGTCATTTTAGCTCCTCACATGGTAGTGATCATCGACTGAAGAGCAGGTTTGTTGGTAATATCGTCTTAACGCCAGACTCGCCTCCCCCTCCCAGATCTGCGCAGCAGCCTCTGTTAGCTCCCCTGCTAACCCACCCAACAAGGTTGTCCGACTGCTGGCTTATAATTATGTTTTAACATTTTTATCTTTTGAATATAACATCATATAGATTGTATAAAAGCATTCAAACACAAATAATCCACACTGGCGCACTAACCTGTCAAAACGGTCTCGTTGATTCCTGCGTCGTTTAAGCTGCTACCGTTCAGCCTCCGCCGGTATAGTAATACTGCGCATGCGCACTGGGAGAGGACATCGTGTGCGAAGCGCATGTCTGGTTCTCGGTGTTGCCAGTTTTGTATAACGAACAGTGTTGACATGTCCACTTTTCATAATAAAGTGGTCTTTTTTAAATAAAGGAGCTTATAAATATGGGCAGTCGCGGGGTGCAGTCATTTTGTGCTTATGTAGCCTACTACTTGTTTCACTTCTGTTTCAGTTTTTATAACCATTTCTTACTATGTGTAAGTAAGTTGAAATTTGGTTGTATGCATTTGTCATTTTTATTTCATTTCTTTATTTTTAAAATGTGTATAAGTAGTATTTATAAAGTTTTAGCTTTTAGTTTTGGATCTGTTTTTAGTTGTTTTAATACTACAATTGATTGCTTCTGTTGTCCTCATTTGTAAGTCGCTTTGGATAAAAGCGTCTGCTAAATGACTAAATAAATAAATGTAGCCCTACAAAACGTATGCTGACCTGCTCTTCGCATATGTTATGCACTCTAAATTATACAATTATTATTACTCGTTTTAAACTTGTTTCTTCTTTAGTCCCATGCCCAAATGATGCATAAATGCACAAGAGAAAGAGAAGATTATACATTGAGAGAGACGTGTGTGTGTGTATCACTATGGTTGACTAGGTCTTTTTTTAATTTTTTTTATTTTTCCAAGCAGGTGTTTTTCCAGCAAGATCTGGCAACACTGGGTAACGAGGTTTAGTCTTCTTCGCTGCACTGTGTCATGCATTGAGTGTTTCTCTTTAAAATACACTACACATATTTTATAGCCTATAATTATAATAGTTTCAACAAAAGATATACAGAAAGTCTAAAATAAAGTAAAACTATATTTAAATGAAGTATTCATTAACATATATTAAAAGATTTAGTACAATATAGAGTTTAACCATGTAAAGTTTTATACTTTCGATTTTTTATATCACACATTTATGGAAAACTAACAATCAACAATAATAGGGATTTGGCGACCTGAATGAAATAATGCGAAGCGCAACACTGCTGTTTTGTCTCATAATTCCCTTAACGCTGTAGGATTGTAGACATCACATCAGATTTAGGTCTATTTAATTTCAAGGTAAAAAGTACCCTCATATCGTCTCATCCTTCCTGAAAATATCGATATATCCTCCAGTTGTTCTTTACCGGTAGCTAGCCTACTAGACAGCTAGACAGACCGACTTTTCATATGCACTGTCATTGTGACTGCACTAATGATGGCATCTTTTCAGGTTTTACGTCGTTTGTGCGTGCTTACACTCAATAAACCGGTTTATCACGGTCGAGTTATCTCAGCATATGGACTGAAGACTTCCACCGTCAATCACATTAACGGACAACCTGATTCAGGTAGAGCTGCTGGTAGAAGAAGCCCTTACATCCTCTCAAAATAAGTGGATTTAATTGTTGCAGATAAAATTGATCATCTTTTGCAAGACAATATACCTTTTAAAGGCCGTATTTCAGTGAAGTCTGCAATGTCAGGTAAAGGGTGATTTATTATACAGGAATTTGAGACTTTTTGGTCCAATTCCCAATTATCTCTACTTGATAAATAACCACGATATTCACGAAAAACACAAATCAAAGTATGCAATCTTTGAAGTAAATTAATTAATTTATTGTTTGTTTGTATGCATGTATGTAGCCTATGTCTATTTACTGGCTTTTTATTTATTTATTCATTCATTCATTCATTGCTATTTTATTTATTTTGCATTTTATTTATAAGTGTAAGTCAAATATAAGTGACTTATAATATCAGTCAAAAGCTATGCTGAAAGGAACCATTTATTAACATATACTGTATATATATATATATATATATATATATATATATACAAAACTCGGGTACAGATTGGCTTGTGTTATACAGGAAATTATTTCTACTTGATAAATTACCGAGATATTCACAAAAACATACATCAAAGTATGCAATCTTTTAAGTGAATTCATTAATTAATTAATTCATTGTCATTTCTTTTATTTGTTTGTTTGTTTGATTTAGAGGAGGGGTGGGGTAACAGAATATTACTCATATTTATACATTATAAATAGTTATATATTTCTGTAGTTATAATACAGAAATACCACTGTTGAGAATATTGACTTATTTATTCATTCATTCATTGTCATTTTATTTATTTGTAATTTTGTTTATAAATCAAGTCAAAATGCTATATTGAAAGGATCCATTTATTAACATATAAAAGATAAAGAGTCATATTTTAGTGAAGTCTGTAATGTCAGGTATATAGGGCCATATTTATAGTGTCGGGCCATTTATTATATAGGAACTCTGGACTTTGGTCCCGTTCCCAATAATCTCTGCTTGATAATTAACCATGATATTCATAAAAACACATAGCAATCTTTTAAGTGAATTATTTATTGAAAATATTTATTTATTGACTGCTTCGTGTTTTAAAGTGCGGTTAATTGTCCTGACTAAATCACTTAGCAATTGTTTTGTTTCTGCTTATAAAGCAACACAATTGTTTGACCCATCATTTGTAGGCTATCCCACTAACCAAACACACAGCCTTTATGTGTCTACTAACCATTAGCAGGATTTTTTGTAAAATGCTGTTTTTATGTTGCATGAATTAATGAACTTTATTTGCCAATAACAGAATATCAACTCTGATCTTGCGGTGGTATAATTTTAAATAAGTCTTTGGTTGATTTTCACAATTTCAGTGTCAGCTGTGACATACAAACAGCTCAAAGCCATGCTGGCCAATCACAGCGTGCAGCTATTTGATGTCAGGAATCCAGATGAATTCCAGGCTGGACGGATTCCTGATTCTGTCAACATTCCTTGTAAGTCACTACTGAAGTGAAGAATCCGTGTTTCTTGTTTCTGTATCCACACTCACTCTCAGTTTTTTTTTATTTGTCTGTCAGTGGGACAGCTTGAGGAGTCACTGAAACTCCCACCACAACAGTTTCAACTGCAGTTTGGGGTGAAAGCCCCTGAAAAGGAAGATGATAACATAGTTTTCCATTGCCGAAGCGGAAAAAGGAGTCTGACTGCTCTTGAAATCGCTCATCGTCTGGGCTTCTCTAAGTAGGCTACTGAAAACACACACACTGATCTCATTATAAGCCCAGAACTCATATTATGTGGATGATCCAATTAATTAAATATTCCTTGTTGTTAGAGGCACTACTTGTTTTCTTTGTTGTTGTTTTTTCAGGGCATGGCATTATGCAGGCGGATACATTGATTGGGAACAGCGTGAGAAGAAGTAACAGGACTTACTGAGAAACATTTTAAATGAACTTCACATCACTGCAACAGTCATATTAATCTGGACCAAAAATCTGGAAATAGAAGATCAAATTAAATATTGACAGTTGAAACTGAAGCAAGTTGCTCGTTTTGCTGTTTACAAAAATCTGAATCTGCGTCATTATTACAATGACTCATCAATTATTATATATGAAACATATTTCATTAAGATGTGAATTTCATTAAGATGTGAATATGAATTACTAGTGTATTAGAGTCAATATTGATATCGTTTAATGACTAATTACTAATATGATATTAATAATATTTGATTAAGTTGATTTTTAGAAAATTGATGGAGCAAACCTATTTCAGATAAATACTTATAAATTGTTACTTCAGATTGAACCAGACGGATCAAACTATTTCTTAAAAAAGATACTGGACTGTAAAAACCGATGTGAATATATATTTACAAATGTGTTTCATTCAAATATTTTTAAAAGGCTCTGGAAAGTGATTAATTCATTGCTGAATATTGATCTGGACCATTAATCTAAAATAAGATAAAATGTACAAATTTATTTACAAATGTGTTTAATTAAAATCATATTAAAAGACAGCACTTAATTCATCAGTACATATTGATCTGGACCATTAATCTGGAAATAGAAGGTCAAATTAAATGTTCACAGTTTTTTCATACTTTGCCACTTGCAAAGATGTGAATCTGAATGACTTAGTGTAGTGGAGTCATTATTCATATAGTTTTAATGACTCATCAATTATTATAATATTAATCATAATAGAATTAATCTATTTCAGATAGATATTTGAAATAATTGCTCCTTCAAATTAAATCAGATAAATAAATATAAAAAAGCACTGAGCTGTAAAACCCAATGTGTGTATATGCTTACAAATGTGCTTCATTAAATTACTGTTACAAAGGCACTGGATAGTGTCTGGATAGTGATTAATTCATCAGTGCATATTTAGTTTGTCCTTCTGCCAAAGAGTATAGAAAGGTCTTCTATACTCTTTGCTTCTGCATTGCGTTATTACCACTAGGTGGCAGTAATGCAATTAGGCAAAATAAGGGAGCGTTTTATGGCCAGCAAGCAGCCATACACAGTCACAGGTGCTCGGATGCTCATTTCACTGCTGCCTGTTTGGATGTGGTCGGCTGCACCTTAGTAAATAGCTGTCAGACTGATACTGAACACAGATCAAGGCTGGCACATTTTTCATTGGAATGCAATCAAATCAACAGACCTTCCTTCATCCATCTTGGAGAGAATTATTTGAGTGTCAATTTATATAGCGCGTTACTGTGAAATTATAGACCGTAGCCTATATAGTCCATCAGATGTAAGCAGTAGCTTTGCAGGTATTGGATTTGGCACACGCTAGCTGTCTCGTCTGAGCCTGGGCCTTGTTCTCTGAATGATGAGAACAGACTATGATAAATGTGACCGTGTCACTTTCACCCCAGCTATAATGGGGTCCACATCTGTGAGCTGGGTTGTAAAATAAAAAACCCAAAACGAATTTCTTTGTTGATCACAGGGGACCTAAATATGCCCGGGGTGTTTATTTGCTGTCATTTTTTCTCCATATTCCAAATTTCTATTTCACTTT